TTCAATGAACGGCGGTCGACGGAAGGATCATCGGGCAGACAGCAGCCATGCCCGGTAAGTTTTCTGTCATACGGCGCGAGCACTCGAGCTGTTGAAGCGCTGTCCTATAAAGATATGTGACCCCACGTCGTCCGATATTATTCGAGTACGAATTTGTGCAACTTTCGCGTACAACTTTCGCGTCGAAAACGCGGAATCTTCATCGACTATTTTTTCCGCATTATGGCGGTCTTCTGTTTCACATCTGTCCGATCCGAGATCGCAGCCGGAAAACAAAAAGCTCGTGTTTTCAGATCCTCACTCGACACTTTCCTGCCTCGGCCTTCCAGCCGCGAACCGGAGGAGCTGATAATGCGTTAGACTGTTCTGTGACTTGCAGCCTTTGCACGCCTCGTGTCGTTAGCTTGGCTGGAACCGCGGCCCAAACGAGGCGCTTCCTCGACGTTTTCGTTTCCCTTAGAGGAGGCATTTGAGTTACACAGAGCGCAGCGAGGCACACTCGGTGCTCCATTTTCCTGAGAATTTTGTGGCTATAAGCTGTCACCGAGTATTGGGGGCGTGCGACACCGAAAGGGGGCCCGCCACTAGCGTTTGCGTTCCGAAGCGCCGCCCGCTTCGACCACTTGGAACGCTCCTTGGCCGCGTCTGCATGCATCTCTTCTCGGCCGCTCCGGAGTAAAGGTCTGTCCCCCTTGCCTTTGTCTGTGATGCTATTCGCACGGCGTCGTGCGAATAGCATGTGAAGCAGCCACGTTACCACAAGACTACGCCACACCTTGGGCAGTCCCGTTTTTACAATCCATTTTACATTTTTTACGCAATTTTATTTCTACGTACTGTCGTGAGCAAAGGTCTGGACAACACGGGAGCGCCGACCGAATTGCATCGCCGCGCTCCCTGACGGCGCGGTGCCTGGTGCCGAGACCCGCGCAGTGCGCACGCGCGTCCTTTCTCATCTGCTGGCCCTAGGGGTGTCGCGAACTTTTGTCGAACCAGATTTTTAGGTCGAACTTTCGGGGTTCGACTGGGTCGAACCGGTCCGACGAACCTTCGAACTTTTCACCAGAATCTAACGGTTCGACTTTGTGGACAGTGTGGCCAGACCTTGATACAAGCATGTCTAGGTTTGGAGAATTCTTTTTTAAGAAAAGGGTTATTTTATTTTATAAACAGTTGCAATTTAAAGAAACTAATTCTAATCACTGAAGAAGTTAACTTTATTGTTTTGTACTGTACTAAGTGAAATAACCAATCAGCGCTGCCCTTAATTTATTTCTTAGCCATCACCATCCAATCCGAAGCCAACTGGCCAGCCTGTCGCGCATGCGCACACGAGTCAAACCTCAATACAAGGTTCGTCGAATTTTCTACTAAAAGTTCGAAAAAGTCTAACCTGGTCGAACTCGAACCTCGGCCGGTTCGCGACACCCCTAGCTGGCCCACCTGTTCGCTCGCTTGAACGCGATGCGCTCCTGAGCGATTAAATGGGCGCTAGGTGCCGCCTCGGGAACCAAGATTCCGAGAGCCTCGCTCACAGCTCTGGACGAGCTCGCGTGCTCCGCGGCACGCGCCGTTCGCGCATATCTTTCCCGCGACTCGGCGACGCGTTAAAAACCGTCGCTTATGTTGAGGCAGCCGCAATGAATTGTACAACTTGTATTCGCGTACTCGAGGCAGCCTTGGGCTTTCTTCCGAGTGATCATGCACGCGCGGTAAAGTGGTGAATGACGAGCAAAAAGAAAATGCCAAATAAGAAAGAAATATTTATTCAACCCCCTCCCAAGAAAAAAACAAGAAACCAAACGGAAGGAAAAAGAGGCGCTGGTTCAGTTTGGGTGGCTAATACTTTGTCATGTTTCCGTTAGCCTGAATCACTTCTGCTACACGGCGTGGCATAGAATCATAAAGTGAGGCCACCAACTCTGGCTGTGCACGAAGCGCCTCCCATTCCTCTTTCACAACGTTCCAGAGCGTCTCCGACGTAGCGCTTCCAAAGTTTTGTGCTGTAAGGCGGCCTTTCATCCACCTCCACACGCTCTCGATGGGGTTCAGGTCCGGCCCGACCGGTGGCCACTGCAGCGTGCGGGCTGCACGGTCCTCCATTAGGGCGCTGACAGAACGCGCTGTGTGAGCTGGGCTTCTGTCGAGCTGCAGCTGACAGCAGCCGTCTTGACTTTTTGACCCTTTACACCGCGTGCATACTAAATTGAGCAGCAGCTGTTTGCATTGTAGCCGGGGCAAATTTAGGATGGGAAGCTTAAAAATAACGAGTGGAGGGAAGGGACAGTTTTTAACGCGTCGCCGAGTCGCGGGAAAGATATGCGCCAACGGCGCGTGCCGCGCAGCACCCGAGCTCGTCCAGAGTAGAGCACTATATAGCTCCTACGGAGCAGAGTAGCTCAATCATTTGATCCGCGTGTTTCGCCGACATGGCCGACAGAGCAGCTCGGCGCGAGTCACGTGGTAGTCAGGGTTCCAGGAGGCGGCGCCTCAACACTGCTGATTAAAAAATAAACGCAAAGTTCACACTTTTCGAAGCTAGTCTGTCGTGAAGTTGGTAAAGCAATAAACACTTTATCAAAGTTTTAATAATATTGGATGCGTCTGAAAATTTTCCGAAGGAAATTTTCAAAGCAATGGCGTTTGAAGCAGACGATTGTTTTTACGCAGCGGAGATGGACTTTATGGATTGGCCGGAGCGGGTCACGTGAACGGTGTGACGTCGCCGCGTCGTCTGCTCCATGATGCTGCTCAGGCAATTTTTAAAAAAATAAGTCATTTCATGGCGCACAACTTAGCGCAAGTTATTGTAAACTATTCCCTTATTATGTGAAACTATTTTCGTTCCATATATCCCCAAAATAATAAGGAAGCAGCGATTTTCTCCCGTTCCCCATGCATTTGTGGCCGGAGTTGGAACCCCCGGGCGTTCGCCGCTAGTCGCCGAGAGACGGCGTTCTAGATTGCGGTACTCTGCTCCGAAACTAGTATAGAGCGGTGAGCGCTGCTCACGGCTCTGGAATCTTGCAGAGCCGGAATCTTGGTTCCCGGTGCGGCACCTAGCGCCCATTTAATCGCTCAGGAGCGCATCGCGTTCAAGCGAGCGAACAAGTGGGCCAGGAGGCCCAGCACATAAGAAAGGACGTGCGTGCGCATTGCGCGGGCCTCGGCACCAGGCGCCGCGCCGTTAGGGAGCGCGGCGATGCAATTCGGTCGGCGCTCCCGCGTTGTCCAGACTTTTGCTCACGACAGTATTTAGGGAGTTTTCGTAGATCATTTCCGCCGTCCCGCCACGTTCTTCCCAACCCGCTACGAGACGCGGGACTCTGTAGGCAAGGCTAGAGTCGCGACTGCGCGGTAGGGGCGGGGCGTCTTCGTTTCGGAAAGCGTAGCAGAAGTGGGAAAGGACTTTAGACCGCGTTTTGTAAGTGCGGGTGACGCTGCGATTTCGGTAGAGCTTAAAAAAAAAGCTTGGACGAAAAGAATGTGTTTTTTTTGTATTCGAAATTTCCATTTTTTTTCTCTTTCTGAATGGAAACGGAAATGTAATAGATTACAATCATTCCCTTACGTAAAACAAGTCAGGAATTTGCTTTACAATTACCTTCTAAAGTATGTAATTATTTCCTTACAAAATTACTGATAGATGCTAGAAATTACAAATTTCGTCACTTGTAACGGATTTTGCATATTTCTGAGTGAATTATTAAAAAAAGAAGCTGTACTACCTAAAATATTGTCGCGTTGTCGACAAAAGTTACTCATCCAGCGAAAAACAAATCCTTCAATAAAAGTTGATGCTGCTTGAGTTCCCAAGCGCTATTACGAGACAGGACCGTCGGCAACAGAGCGAACGAGCAAAACGTTGACAGACTATTGAACACGTCCTTATGTCGCCGCGGTGTAATGCAGCAGTGCCTGTATACTGTACGCTCTTGCCGTTTGCGTAGTTTTGACAATCATACAACGCTTTTACCCTTTTAGCATAAATCACAACTTGCATTATTCTTTTTTTAGGTAGTCCCACGGCTTCACCAGGTTCAGCGGTCTGCTCCGAGAGCTCAATCACATTCGCCGTTCATTGGACTCAAAGGCGCGACGAACTCGGCACTCTTTATACTGGAGCGTACGAACGATTTTTCAAAAGTCTAGAATGCACACTCCATGCACGAGTGCACATTTCGGATATTTCTCAAAGACCTGGCAACGGTGCTTTCGAAGACAAGGTGTTCCAGGTAGTATGCACTGTTTCCCTTGCCAACGAGGCAACCCCTTCAAAACTGGGTGTGCTGTACGCCAAAATTGCGCGTCACTGGTGCAAGGCAGGTAGAAGTGCAACCTACAGAGGGAAGTTGCAGCTGTTGGTGCCCGATCACAAGCATGGACTGCCGCGTGATTGGATGCCGTACGAGAATAGCATCCAACTTACCTCACTGTCGTTCGGGACGTTTGCAAACCTCACGGTTTTTGCAGAGAACTTTGTGGTCCATTCGCGGTCAGAAGCCTCGGGATTCGCACTAAAGTGTGTCTTCAAGCATGACGAGAAGGTCCTGCAAGTGAGCTTAGACCTCAAGCATCACGAGATTTGCCGACGAATGCCAAATACGTACAGACTCGTGATTGCCTACGATAGCATTCATCGTGTCCTCATTGACGACTGTGAAGGTAGTGAGTCCACGACAGACATCTTCCTCTATGTCCGAACGATTCCCTTGCTTTACAAAAGGAACGAACAGCGGACGGTAGTGCTGAGCAAATCCGCGCATCCAGAGCTTCATTTCTTCGACCGGGCCCTGGAGTTTGGTTGTGGCTGCCACTCGATTTGGCATGCCAAAGATTTGGGAGGCAACGCTGTGGTAAAGCTCAGCTTCCGTAACAAACTGAAGGTCAGACAGATCATTGGGCCGCTCAGCCGGCGCTGCAATGGGGGAACCAGGTTCCAGCACTCGGCGGTGACCACTCGCAGTGTCGGCTCAAGTCTGAAAGACGTCCAGCGGCTGTTGGACTCGCAGGTCATGCCGCACCTGGGCTACTCCTGCTGCTACGCTCTCAAGGCTGTCCTCCAGCAGGGCAATGACGCGGCGGCGCAGATGGCCATGTGGCCAGATAACGAGCGGGAGGAATTCGTGCACAGCATCCTGGAATTCGCGCACGAGAACGAAGAGGCGTTGGAGCAGGCTCTCTTTATCATTCGAGACGCCATTGAGAAGAGCAATGTGGTCACCTTGCACGCTGCTTTGCCGGAACTATTTCACCAATTCCGCAAGGTCCATTCCTCCGATATAGTTCCGGCTGGTTCTTACCTGATACGACGGCTCTTTGTGACACCTTCACGCGTTTTCTTCCTGCCGCCGCTGCTCTTCCGCGAGAACAGAGTGCTTCGCCGGTTCAACCCCGAGTACGCGATGCGTGTGACCTTCCGCGATGACAACCTCCAGCAGCTGTCACGCTCGCTGATGTTTCATCGGAGGAGGGATGAAATGGTGGATGCGATCGTGGGAAAGTTCCTTCGCGAAGGAGTCGTTGTGGGGAACAGGCGGTTCAAGTTCCTGGCGACATCGTGCAGTCAACTTCGCGATCACGGAGCCTGGCTTTACGCTGAGGTAATTTTGCTTTATTTTAACAGAATCGTAACTTCTCCCCGTAGGCAGCTGGGCACGCGTCTGTCGTGTCTATCTGTTGAGGGGTATGCAAACTGGCAACGCGTGGCCGTGACTTTGCTGGAGGAAGTTCACGGCAAGACCGGGAAACTTCGCTTTTTGCCACTACACGTTCCGACAAGCTACGGCGTCCCGCCCCGTGACGTGTTCCATGACAAACCCCTGGATGCTACCAATCACATTCACGAGAGGGGTGGAGAGGTCGGCAAGTCTTGCGTGGAGTCGGGCGTCTGCAGCGAAACAAGCACCGAGCATGTGGACAGACATTTCTGTTGGTGGGGGTGGGCCTGTCACATCGCTTCCCCCTCTTCGACTCACCACGGCCTTCCACGGCTCGCTGTCTTGTTCAAACTGAAAAACGGAAAGGGAGTCCAGCTTCTTTAAGCGTTGATCCTTTTCACGGGCGGCGACGCCAGTTTGCATAACCCTTTAATCGTTCTTAAACAGAAGTTGATTCGCCATCTGACGACTGCCGTGGATCCGCATCGTATCATTGAAAGCGTACATTTGTAATGCTATCCGTCTGCATTAGAAGTCCATATTTACAGCGATCAAGTTTTGTTGCTGATTATTTTTTTGCCATTAGTCGTGTCTTTTAATTCATACAGGACTCGTTGGGAAACACAGTTGACCTCATTCGCACCTGGATGGGAGACTTTAGTGGAATTCCCAACATCGCCAAGAAGATGGCCAGGATGGGCCAGTGCTTCTCTTCAACCATGGAGACCCTCAAGGTTCCGCTCAAGGGGGATATTGTCCAAATGACTCCTGACATCGTTGGAGGACGGCACCCGGTGTCGGCCAAAGAGTTTTCCTTTTCTGACGGCATCGGAATGATCTCCGCGTCGCTCATGGAGAAGGTAAGCCCTTTCCAGGTCCTTAACACAAGGGGCCATCAACAGTTTCGAGTTTTATTAAATTCTACCGAAAAATCGCAGCCAACTTTTTTTTCTCAAAGTTCCATTTTCTGCCAAAACTAATAATTCGGCCTGGGCACTTAATCGATTAACCTACCGATTAAACAATGATTGTTTTGATTGCGATTTAATTTTTTTAACGGTTAATCGCTTAAATTTTGTTTAAAAAAGCGACAATTCAACGCGTTCACCACGCAGACGTGGAGGAGTACACCTGTAGGAAGGCAGACTTTGGGTGAAAGTTTGGCCTAAAGTGAACTGTAGGGGCAAGATTTGTAACTCCAAACAAATTGAGAAGGTCATACGTGTCCCAGCTACTTCAACACCTGCGAGTGTCCGTTTAGCGCAGAAGCGACTATTCTTAAGTTAAAGGAGTCTGCTATTGCCGGAGTACATCAAGGAACCTCTTTGCTTCTGTGGCTGAAGTAATACTTTGTGAGTGTGGTGGGTGTCTTTTTTCGACTGTTCCTAACTACACGTCAAGGTTGATTTAAACTCTTAAGTTGTACATCGCGCCGTTCATCTCATATTCAGAAAAGGAGAAAAAAAGTAACTATAAAGCCGAGTCACACTGGTTATACATTATACAAAAGTCCGCATATCGCTTCGAACGCGAGTCGCCGCGAGATTCGTGGTTCGAATGCCACGTGGCAATGAGTTCAAGGAGGAAACTTGGACACGCTCCATTCGAACCACGAATATCGCGGCGACTCGTGTTTTCTGACTGTATTTCGTGTGATGTATGAGCAGTGGAACTCCGGCTTTATGCGTGGGAATGGACCGAATCGATTGCTTAATGGATTAAAGGGTGGCGATTATTCGGGTTAAAATTTTTAATCCACGCCCACCCCTAATACACATAAAAAAATATATGTTAAAGCCAGCGGGCCACGAAAGCAAAAATGCTGAACACTATATATCATTATACAATACTCTAAGAAAAAAAAAAAACTATAAAAAAATTTGGGTTTGAACGAATAATTCATCTGCCGACCTTCATTTCCTAGAGTCCACAATGAAAAGCAGGTAGTTACTTTTAACCATAAGTAATATAAATCAGTAGGTCACTGTTTCCTCCAAGTGGGAGGAAACAGTGCGTCGTCCTGGGGGGGTAAAAGATCAGAATACGTAGATGTAACTTCGGGGGTACCTCAAGGGTCAGTGCTGGGACCACTTTTATTTTTAATCTATATTAATCATATAGCGTCTTCCATCTCTTCTAATATCAGATTATTCGCGGACGATTGTGTAATTTACAGAACAATAAGGAACGTTAATGATGTCTCTTCTTTGCAACAATGATTTAACTGGAATAGACAAGTTTAATTATCTAGAAATGCCCCACTATATATCGAGTAGGAGGGACCACGTAAAAAAAATACGCGAAATAAAATGTCGAACTAACTATATGACGTTTTCTTCTTTTCCGAGAACTATATCGGAATGGAATGAACTGCCGTCTGATATTGTATCAGCTAACAGTGACTCTTTTATTAGCCTTATTAATGCAATGTAAGTTTCTGTGTTAAGTACATCATTGGTTTTTTCGTAATATTGCTATTGTGTGCTGGTGTGAATCATGTTTATTGATGTTGTTGGAAATTGCTGATGTGTGCTGTTATGTGACTTTCCAATTTATAATGATATTATGTGAATCATGTAACCCACTCCTCTGCTGTAATGCTCCGGCGCTGCAGAGAATAAATAAAAAAAAAATGGCGTTTTTTCGCTAGAAAAAAAAAAAAAAAGAATGAGTCGTTGAGTCACCTTCGTTCCGGTTTTATCAGTGTCCAGCGCCGTAACCTATCATCCGGAATGCGTATTGTTCGATGCGGCCGAGAAAAGTAAAAACGAAGATACTGGTTCTGTATAAGCCAAGGAAAATTCTCCAAATGAATGAATTGGGTGAGAGGCTAAAAACCGTGTAAACAAACATGATCTACGTCGAAAGTAAATGGCTGAATTTCGCTATAGAATACTGGCGTTGATGTTGAAACTTCTCTCATGCAACTCTAATACTATTTTACTGATTTTAACTCAAAGAAAAAAAAATTAATTTTTTTTTGGCGTAGAGTTTTTTTTTTTTTTTTTTTTTTTTGTAAATATGAACCTGCAGTTTGTGCACGCTCTGCGAGGTAGTCTTTTCAACACGAGCATTACTTATCGCGTCAAAAAAGTGAAGCTGATTTGCCCCTCTGGTGGTATTTAAATTATGTCTGCTACTGGGCAACTTGATACGCTAACAAGAGCCTGAGAGCGGATCGGTGCCGCTCGAGTGGCGGTTGCGTCAATGTGGCCACCATTGCAAGTTATCGAGACTCGTTCCTTAAAATATATCACTTAATAGAAAAAAAAACTATTAAATGCATACCGTTTCGAACAGGTCTGCAAGAAAGTGGGCCTTTCCTACGTGCCCTGCGCCATTCAGATCCGCTACGCGGGATACAAGGGCATGCTCTGCTTGAACCCGTGTCTGCAAGGCGACAAGCTGGTGCTTCGCCCGAGCATGCGGAAGTTTGACTGCTCAAGTTCCGACAACCTGGAACTGGTCAAGGTGTCTGCACCACGTAAGATGTTGGCTGGTCTCTACACATACGCGCGCACGCCTCACCGCCCCCCTGCCCCCCCTTAAAAAAATGCAAATACAATATTTGGTTGTATTATTTCCTAATATTCTCTTATTTCCGGGGGCTTGCGAGTTTAGCTATCAAGGTGCATTTCAATTTCAAAATAGAGGTGAGTACAAAGGCCTGATTAGATCTCGTACAAGATTGAGAAATATTGACGCCCCGGGTCGGGTATCGCGCTATTTGTCCTGACCTTACCTCGCCTCGGTGGTTTATAAATAGGATTCCGTGTTTGGGCAATTCTTTTTTTCGAATTTGTTTGTTTTTGCTGCGTTTATTTTTTTTACAAGTTCAGTGTTTTTTGGGCAAATTTTGGCGAATTCACACACAAACACCGAATGTGTGAGAAAAAATACCCCTCTAAAAAAGAAAGCATACTGCGGATTTCGAAAAAAAAAAAAAAAAAAAGCACCAATAACTCGGAACCTTGTTTATGAATGGGTTACTTGTTATACCCTGCGTAAGACAATTGCGCTGTGTATTTGTTGAGGTATTTAGGAAGTAATAGCCCAACGCTCCTACCAAGGTAACATAGCCGCTTCGGTGGCTCCGAGGCAAAGCGCCGGCCTACGCTTCTTCAGGAGCTCGGTTCGAATCCCGCCGAGGTGCCCGCAATCTGACCGTTGCAGAAAACCCGGCAACAGTGTCTCGGCATAGTAACCATGGCAACAGCGAGGCGGTCAGCAGCTGCGTGACATGGTGAAGGAAAGCAGGTCGCAACCTCTCTGTGCGCCAACCGAGCTTTAGGTGCTTCATACGTTTAAAGGACACTGTACGCGTTCCAGAGTACCAGTGAAGATGCAAACACAGTGCTGTGTCCCGGTCTGCACGCAATACGGATACACTGACGTATTCGGACGGAAGGGAGTACTTATATATGCCTATTGGACAGTCCGCTGCCGCGACCGTTTGGCTAACCTCACGAATTCGCATGCATTTGCTTAATGAAGATAATATATTGGTACTGCATTATACTGGCTTTGCGCTTTCTTCATTATTGCTGTTAGCCAGGTATACGTTTAACGGGGATAACCGAGCGTCGGTTTTTTACCCGACGAATCCGTTGCCTTTCGGCCGGCCTAACTATTAATTTGTTAAGTCGGAGTAAACCTTTTCAATCATGAAATCACCCGGCTTTTGGAACATTTTTGCATTTTTCATGCATTTGCTTCATACATTACGTTGTTATTTCACCACACATTTGTTTAGTGTTGCTCGGTAGACAGATACCATTGGCGAGGCTAAATGAGCAGTCGAATTCCCGTATCAGTCCTGAGAACATTTTCTACACTTTAACAATTAACACACGAAAAACAAAACAAAAAAACTTAACCTTGCAGGCGCGTTTTTTTTTTAAATCTTTTATGTTATTGAGGCATCCACTAACACCATGTTACTTTATGCTTCCATGCAAAATCGGGACAGCACCGCATTAGGCTTAGGGTGACCACCTTACTGCTAGCGGAATGCGGGACACGCGGAATAGGGGGGGGGGGGGGGGGGGAGGGGGGGGAGGGGGGGGGGGAGCGCAAGAGGATATTTTTTGAACAGGCACACCATGAACCGAGGTGTCGAAATCGTCAGTTTAAAAATCAACTGCACTACAACAAGGCACCAAATAAAATTGAGACATCGATGATGTACAAACTAGCTAAATTACCACTTTTTCTGATAAGGAAGATTAAGAAACAACAAATATTTTTCGTTTTATTGTTTCCGGTCAACGCTTACTTTTATAGACATGGTCCTACAGACATTTTTAACATTATGTGCTTTTTCGAGCGTCGTGACTTCCGGTCAACGCTTACTTTTATCAACATGGTTCTACACACATTTTTAACATTATGTTCTTTTTCAACCATGTTGAGTTGCAGGCTCCTTGCCTTGCGTGGCTGTCTTCACTAAAGAGAACTTTCACAGCAACAGGTTCGAATTGACACAACGGTATGAAGATAATTACAATAATTTATATTTAAACTTTTGGCGAGAAATTTTCTCCATAGTAACCCTGAGATGTAGGAACCTTACAGTATTTTGCCACCAAGGAAAGTAACAACGGCGCTTGCGCTTGAAATCTCCTGCAAGAAGGACGGTCGCTTCCCGCAATGCCTAAATAGAAAATGAAGTACCCTTGCGATTCACGACATTACCAGCACCTTGCGCGCTTCCCCGTGCCCCGTTGTTCGGCAGAACCATGAGTTGCGGAGTAAAGATTACGACAGTGTGAAATGCGGGACATTTTGAAGATTTGGGAATTTCTCGCGGGACGCGGGACATGAGCCCTCAATGCGGGACAGTCCCGCGAGTCGCGGGACGGGTGGTCACCCTAATTAGGTTCCGCTTGAAGGCATCTTTTTATGCAAGTTTAGTGGGGACTTGCAGACACATCATGAATTGTCATGATTTGTCATCTCACCATCTTTGTTTTCAGGTTTCATACCTAGCAAGCTAGCTAGCAAGGTTATTTTCCCAGCCGGCAGCGGGAAACAGCCGCGTTTACTTCATTTGCCCTGCCCATTTTTCACGCAGGGTCAGCGGGCCGAAGAAAGAACATTCCTTCACCATGGACAGCGCGCACAGAGTTGTCACACTTTTGAAAGGGGTCTATTACGGAGAAGGCGCCGTGTAATCGAACGCATAATGTGGTTACGTTTCTCGTTACTTATCCTTCCCAGGACTTACAAGAATTAAAGCTAAATTATAATTTTTTTTTGTATTTTTTGACTCAAGTTATATAAAAATTGAGTTTTTTGCGTTTTTTCTTCTATTTAGGTGGAACCGTTAAAAAAACAAAAAAAAACTACTCATTTTCAGTTTCTGGATGGACATACTGTTTTTTAAGTAACGTCAAAGAGTAAGACGTTAATTCACAATGAAGTAACGCAAAAGTAACGTGCGGTACTTTTTGCGGTAACGTAACGGTAACGCGTTCATTTTATTTTGAGGTAACGTAAGTCGATGACGCGTTCCTTTAATTTGCAAGTAACGAGTAACGTATTTCGTTACTTTTCGGTAACGCCTACAACACTGCGTCATAGCCCTCGCTTGATCGCGCCCTTCTTTTCCGAAAGTGCGGCCATCCGTTTGAGATATAGATGTATGAGTGATGCTTTGGAGTTCGTAGCGTCCCGTTCAACGCTTCTGCAGCCTCATTTTGCGAAATCCAAATTTCGGTTCAGTATCACTCTAAGGGTGATCGGAGTATAGGCGGTGTTCTAGACGCTACGTGGTTCGCATGACGGGAATCGAATAAAGCGCCGGATATCCTGCCTTATCGAAGTACCACCATCGATTGATCGTGCCACGGCGCTTCCATTGGATGCCGGCTACGCGTCGCATTTTTGCCTCAAGTGCGTCCCAGCATGCACTAGCTTGGCGGTACTTTGAACCTTTATCGAATCCGTCCAGCGCTTTAGAATCGAGCGGAGTTGCAGCCAACGCAGCTGAATGCCCGCACGTCGTTGTCCTTGTCCACTGTCAGGTTTGGTGTGCCTGAACCGTCCCCTGATCACCATCCTGGAGCAGTTGGGCGTGCCGAGTCGGGTCTTCCTCTGCTTGCAGCAGAGCACGGTGCTCCAGTGCACCGACGCTCTGGTGTGCGAGACCACGGCGCTCCAAGTGCTCAGCGGCTTTGGGGGCACCTCGCTGCCCTTCGCCGAGCTGGTGCGGGGCGGCTTCTGCCTGACCAGGGACCCCTTCGTGCGCTCGCTACTGTACGCAGTCTACAAAAACACCATGGGCAAGTAGTTGCGTTTTGATGAAAGCCGCTGTCGCACTGCTCGTACACCGCCGGCCTATACGGATCCCCAGGTGGAGGGTTCAAATCTCGACCGAGGTGCCCGCAATATGACGGAGGCTTATTGCGGAGAAGGCGTCGTGTAACCAAGCTTTCGGTTGCACGTCAAAAGATCCCCAGGTGGTCGAAATTAATCCTCAGTCCTCCGCTGGGGCGTGCCAGATGAACGTCGTAGGTTTGGCACGTAAAACCCCCAAATTTGATTTGGCAATGCTCGTACAGCCTCGAAAGTGCATAGTGTTCGCCGCAGGCATGGCACCAGAGACGACTCGAGCGAACCATGATGGCTTCATTCATGCTTCGTCTGCAGACAGTATTTGTACGACCAATGTGGCGGGGTTGTCATATATACACCCCAGGCAGTGTCTGCACACTTGTCTTTTGCATGAGCAGTGCGGCTTGAGGGTACCATTCCACCTGTCCTGAAACACGCGATAGAAGGTTCTTGTCCTTTCCCTCTTCTGCTCCTAAAGGAGCAAAAGCTGGAGCAGCGAGGACGAGCAAGACCAAAATTCAGCGCCATCTTGCGGCTCAATAGCGGTTGACTTGTTGCCAAGAACGTGTACTTTTCTGTGAAGTTTTCTCAATCCCTCAGTTTGGATGGTGACAAAGATGCGACCTGTAAGGACGAAACACCGACCCGCACAAACCCCTTGATACAACTCTAGGCTATGCGGAGAGCAAGTCGTCTGCTTCTTGCACAGGTATTGCGGTGACGTCAGAACGACGCCGAGCTCTGTTGGCTTTGATTGAAAGGATAGTGGGTAGACCTCAATCCTATATGCCTTGAGGTCTACCCACTATTTTTTCAATCTGCCAATAAGAGGTCAGCGTTCTGACATCATCGCAACCCCTCGTCAAGAAGCAGACGACGTTGCGCTGCGCATAGTCGCCGAAAAAGTGGGAACCGTGGGACCCGCAGAAAGGAGCTCCACTTGTCTACAGCAAAGTGGAAGGTTGAGCCAGTTGGTTCATGTTTCTTTAAATAATTAAAAGCGCCGAAAAAGACAAGGACAAAGAAGTGGAACGACACAAGGCGCACTCGAAACTGTGGTTTATTTCGAAAAGTACATGCACTTATAGGCCCCAGAACCCTGTCAGTAATCAGCGTGTCCCTCGCAACGCTTCTTTCAAATATTCAAATTCACTCTTTGACAGGGCGAGTCACGCTTCACTTACACACTCAACGCCCTTATCCCTAATTGCATACGCCTCGTGCACCTCTCTGCTTGTTCGGTCGCGATTACGAGCCAAAGGGCAAACGAGCCAGTCAAAGGGCAAGGAATATGTCTTGGTACTGCTTGAAGCTACACGTGACTTTACACTACTCGATTCGCCGATTGTGTGTCATGCTATTTATAACAGACTTGGAAATTAACGCTTGCGCGGCTTTTTTTATTCAATCCCCGAGCCATTTCGCACTACCAGTTCGAATGTATAGTGCAGGCCTCGTATTATCGCTTTGGCGCTTCTTCAACTCATTTTTTCAGTCACCAGAAGAATAGCACGGCACACATGCCGTTCCTCGCGCAGCACCCAAAAACACTGGGTTATGCCCACATCTGTTTTGATCTACAGGTGTATGAAGGGGTGGCCAGGCTCTTTAAATCGACCGCAAAATTCGATTTGTTAACCTATCGCGCTACGATTTTGTGCAGCGTTGCCCACAGATGGTGCATTTTGTAAAATTTGCAAAGAGCGAACCTACCCGAGGAAAAAGTTAAGAAAAAGGCTTAGCTCCCATGGAAACTCGAAGAAGCGGTCTTCAAACAATAGGGAGTTTTAGTAGACCGTGCTTCCCCCTCCACTAACCCTCCGCTACGACAAAAAAACGCGCCTGCGTGCCGATCCGGGTAGCGGAGGGGCTTAGCGGAGAGGGGTCTACTAAAACTACCTAATACGGCGCCGTTTCGCACGGGAGAAAAAAGATAGTGCAAGCGGTCGCGACGCCAACTGCCGCCAACGACCGAGCATACGGCGCCGAGTGCCGGCGTATTTAGCAGACTATCTTTTCGACTCATAAGCGGCGCGAGCTTTTTTGATATCGGTTGCCAATACATTATTTTAGCATCCTTACTAATAAAACTCATTAAATGGGCACAAATTGGTTAAAACAATGGTTTATCGGGTTATTTTTACTTTTCTTTTTTTTTTCGTGGTACTTGTGTTGTCTGCTTTGCAGTTCTTTGTTACCGCGCCTGTTTTTGTTTCTGAGACTCTTGCCGCCTGCGGAACGCGCGCCGCTTTCGAGTCGAGAAGATCGTCTGCTAATGACGCCGGCTCTCGGCGCCGTATGCTCGTTCGTTGGCGGCAGTTGGCGTCGCGACCGCTTGCGCCATCTGTCTCCCGTGCAAAACGGCGCCGTATTGTTTGAAGACTGGTGGCTTCGCTGCACTTCCACAGGAGCCAAGCCTTTCTCTTTCTTTACTTTTCCCTCAGGTAAATTCGCTTTTTTAAATTTTACAAAAAAACAATTGCACAGTATGTGGGCAACGCCGCACAAAATCGTTGCGCGATATGTTAAAAAACCGAATTTTGCGGTCGATTTAAAGAGCCTGACCTCTATTTGGGACACCTGGTAAAACCCCATCGTACCGGCGTGCGGTCGTGTATCCCTCTGCGTGATCCACTTTAAAGGGGTACTACAACGAAATTTCGGCGCTCATTTTTTGGTCTATATGTGTTCAAAAGAGCAGTATCACATGGAACATACCAATATCTTGTTAAAAAAGTCTCCAAAGTGAATTTTAAAACGAATGAAACGATTAGCAAAGAGCACCTGGTGGATGTCGCTAACGCCTCGTTTGTAATGCTCGTCTAGGAACCTTGACAGCTAGTGACGGAGGTTGTCTCGTCTCCGGCCACGACGAGAGAAGGGGGGAAGGAGGAACTCCCTTCTTCCTGAGAATTCCTTCTGTGTGTCGCAGAAGTCGCTATTGTCCCCATAGAAGATTATAGAAGATTAACCCGTCACTCAAAATTCGTACAAAAGCAGCCGCTTCGGTGGCTGGAACGACAAGGCCATCCTCTCGACGTCAGCCTCGCTGTAGCTTTGCTCGTCTTGAGACGACCTTCGTCACGATTGCGTTGGATGTCACGTGCTCTAAGCTGGGCCTTCTCCGAGCGCTTGCCAGAGTGAGCCGTTTATAACGAAAAATACAGCCACCAGGATCAAAATACAAACGTGCAATTGTCATTTACGGGTATTGTGGATCATATTCAACCTATTTTTGAACACGACGGGAATATTTCAAATTTCGTTGAAGTATCCCTTTAAGAGCCCCAGGCTACACTGGCTGCACTGGCATCTCTGGGACACTAACCTCATGCTGGCTAAACATTGAAGGACAAAATTTACTTGCCTTTTGTGATCTGCGAGGCGTATATTTATTTTATTTATTTATACCTCAAATGCTCCATTTTTTACATGGGGTATTGCATGAGGATAGCTCTTCAGTGGATTACGTACTCAACGGCGGTCTTGAAATTAGTGAGGATGGAGTGGTGCACGGCGTCGGCGGGCAGATTATTCAAATCCCTTGCTGTCTGAACAAAAAAAAAAAAAACGACCAGAGGTGGGCAGATGTTCGAGCACATGGAGGATAAACTGTTTTATCTTGACTAATGCGGTCTGAAACTCGGTGAGCTGGCATGATAACAGAATTGTCGACTGATGTGAAATATAATTTATGACAGGAACACAGCTTGGCAGCTTTGCGTCGTGACTCGAGGCTTGGGAGACCAGCATGAGATTTGAGTTCGGTGACACTGTTGTGCTAAGAGTAATCGTGAAAGGTAAATTTAGCTGCGCGATTTTGTACGGACTCGAGTGACTAAGGTTAGATTGACAAGGGTCCCAGACAGCGCTTGCATGCTCTAATTTTGGTCGGACGAGTGTCGGGTAAGCTAGTAATTTTACAGATGGAGGGGCTAGTCGCAAGTCTCGCCGCAAGTAACCAAGCACTCGGTTAGCTTCAATTGTCACGTTCGTTATGTGAGAAGACCAGGCAAGGTTATGTGTTAAGTTTATGCCTAGATATTTGCAAGAAGATGTAGAGACTACCGAACCACAGATGGTGTAGTTCGGGGTCGGGTAGAATTTTCTCCTGTGGAAAGAGATTACGATGTTTTTGTAACATTAAGTTAAAATAACCATTTGTTGCACCATTCGTCGACTTGGTGAAGGTCACGCTGGAGGGTATGAGTACCAGTAACGTTATGATGGGACGGTAAATGACTCAATCGTCGGCGAACAAGCGAATGTTAAAGGATATTTTTGTCGACAGGTCATTTATATAAATTTAAAAAAAAAGCAGATGGGGCCGAGGACAGTGTCCTGAGGCACACCTGAAACAACTGGGCATGGGTGAGAAGAGTGATCGTTAGCGTAAACAAAGTGATGCTTGTTGGTTAAGGAGCTGCATATCCAGTAATTCCAGTTGTATACAAGGCTGTCAAGGTTTGACGCTGTGTGTCGCGAAAGCCTCAAGAAGGGTTGGTTCTGAGAAATTTTATCAAAAGCTTTTTCGAAGTCTTAAAAAGAGCATCTACTGGGCAGCACTTGAACTCGGATCGTTAATGAACAGTGCTAATTGGGTATCCAAGAAAGCCTTTCAGAAAACCGTGCTGATTTGGGTGAAAAAAGTGAACAGTTACTAAGAAGCTTATGATTTGGGAGTAAATTACATGCTCTATTAATTTGGATGAAACGCAGGTGATAGATTGGTTCGATAGCTGTTTGTTACACGAAGACGAGGGACCTTTCGTCGGCACTGGAATGATCATGTCCACCCTCCAGTCCTGTGGCACCACTCCAGATGATAGGGATTCCTGAAAAATGTTAGACAGAATGATACTTGTATTATATTGTTTTTTTTAATACCTTTGAGTTGATGCCGTCGACGCCGGTAGATGTTAACTTTAGCGATTCAATTGCTTTGGAGATGCCATTAGGATCGAAAGTAATACTTGGCATAACTGGATGATCAAAGAAAGGGAAGTCAAGAATATCACTGTCCGATTCACTAGTGATTGAAGAAGAGAACATAGTTCATTGTTTGTGCAACTTTATGACTAGGAATGGAAGAATTGAGTTGATCGCGTAATGATATGGGTTTGGAAGGTTTGGGGTTAAATGACTTCCCAAAATTGTTTAGGATTGTTGCGCAGCATATCGGGTGAAGTAAAAGAGAAAAAAAAAAAAAAAAGAAAAAGAAAAAACACGAGCGTTTAGCTGCAGAAACAAGACTCGAATAGTTTTTCTGTGGCATAATATCCCGTGCGTCTGCGTTCGAACGTTTTGCTGAACGGAATTGTCGCTTCTTTTTGTTGAGACGTTTTAACACTGTATTGAACCATGGGGATGCTGGAGGAAGCGTCGGAATCTGCGGGACGATAGCAAAAATGATAACTGGTGGGTAGGAAACATTACAGTAGATGAATTAAATTTATATAGGAGACGGAACATTAATGGGAAAACATTGCAGGTTGTGGTGAGCTGCAATAAAAACACCACCGCCACGTTGGTTCACACATTTACGCCTAAAGCTATCGAAACCAGGAAAATAAGATAGTATCTCGGAATCGCAAATAAATGGGTTCAGTCATGTTTCGGTTAGGACAACGAAGTTGCATTCGGTGATATCAATCAGATTACGGCGTGAATCCCGTTTAAGAAAGATACTTCTAATATTGGTGTATAGAAATGACAAGAAGTTGTGCCTTGAGCAAAAACGTTGGTAGATATATCTAAGATGAGCGCGGGACAACATTTTGCTTGGAGCGGTCGTACGTTGCGTTCAATTATTAGTTCATCGCGACGAAGCTTGCAGGGTTTACGTTGGGCCCTTCCAAATTCAAGCACGTGTTAGCGGGCAAAGCGTGTATGGGGCACTTCTACATTTGGGAAAAAACGCTTGAATTGCGTTCATTTGGCCTTTAGAATGACAGATATCAAAATTATATTTCAATGCGACGCGCCGGAGAGTCATACGAGCAATTTCAAAATAGGGCTGAAGCCCCGCCTCCCTAGCCTTGGCCAGCCAAAAGATCCGTCGATGACGTCACGTACAGCGACAGTCTTTTGCGTTTTTCTCGCGTTTAACAATACTTGCGCAGAAAATGGTCGGGTATTCGGGTTCACGGGGTAAAAATACACTAGAAGTCACTTCTCATTTTGTTTTTTTTCAAGAAGCTCCGTAGCTTCTCTTTAAGAAATGCTATAGTTCGTACCCTTAAGTATTTTCGCATTTGAAAGACTCGCTCTCTATCCTTATGTTAAAACTTTACAATGATGGGTTTGTTTTTGATTGCTTGGAAAGTTCAGGGTCTGTGTGTGCTCGCTCGATATCTCGCATTTGGAGTGTGACACCAAAACTCGTGCTGCAATGCCCAACTATCAGCTCCTTGGACTGGGCCCAGGTCTCGCTTCATTATTTGTGTCTAAAAAACAAGGTTGCACCGGCGAACTGTCTTCGGTGTCATCGAATCGGACTGAGCGTTGAAACATTTGCGCAGCGCTTTCCTCGGTAATAGCCTGGACGCTTTTGACCTGAGCTTCGATAGCAACTGCAGAAGAGCACTCTTCAATTTTAGTAAGCCTTTTCATAATATCGTCAAACGTTTTGTCGTTCTGAGACAGCTTAGTACGAATAGATTTCATCTCGCTTAAAGGGATGCTGAACCGAAATCTGGATTCCCCAAAACACGCGGCAAAAGCGGGCAACGGGATGCTACAAACAGCAAAACATCACTCATACAGCGATATCTCGAACGGATAACCGTATTTAAAAAAAAAAAAAAAAAAAAAAGAGGCGCATTTGGCAGGAATGTTGACGTCATGTTTCTCCGAGAAGGAGAGGGAACGGCCTCGCGTCTTCCCCGCCTTGCGGCCTTGAGAGAGCGAAGCGAAGAGAGGAGGAAACTAGGTATCTTGACGTCACGCGCCTCGTCGGCCTGGTTCAATCTCGACTTTTTCCAAAAATACAACCGTCCATTTGAGATATCGCCTTACTAGCAGTGTTGTAAGGATTGTAGCGTCCTGCCTACATCTCCAGCATTGTTTTTTTGAAATCCAAATTACGGTTCACCATCCCTTTAAGAGACGCCTGTCCTGCTTTAATTTAATGAAGAGCTGTAATTTCTCCTCGGTGCACTTGAAACTTCAGCGCCTTCTGTAGAACCTTTATAGCCTCAGTCTCAGCCGGACTAGTAACACTGTTTTTAACGTGGCAGGAAAGAAGACTGATCTATTCTTTGTTTTTTATCAGATGGACTGCGGTCGAAGAGTCGCATCGCTGTACCACCGAACACCGGACGTAACATGCTCGGAGTGCTCGACGAAACCCAGAGCCTTGAGTACGGAGAAGTCTTCGTTCAGTTCACGGAACATCAACTGGACGATGGGAGTTGTGAGGATGACCCAAAAGTTCCTACTACAAAAATTCTTGTCGGTGAGTTTAAAGGCTCTAGGCTTATTTTCTGTATTTTTATTTCAATTTGTTGCACCACTGCAACAAAGAATGCCGATCGAGAAAACCAGTTTCACGCAAAAATAAAAATTGCCCTAAACGACAGCCATTGGAAAGAGTAAACGGAGCGCGGTTTGTTAAATCCTTCTAGGGGTCCGTCAACGTGTTTTCATGTGCTTACATACAGCTGGAGAAAACTTGTATTGACAGTTCATCTCACCAAAAATTGTTCCCCTCTCTTCGCTGTTCCTATCATGGTGACGTGCAGTGAAAATGATGGATATATTTCAAGACCACCGCAAGATCTCGAAAAACGCCAGCCCCCTACAAATAGCCCACTTCTTTTTTTTCATCAATTTCTTTTTGGCGGGTCGGCGATCATTCGGCGTTTGAAGGTAACCTGCTTCTGGCCACACCCAGGTGCTGTTTTGGTAACAAAGTGCCCCTGCCTACATCCGGGCGACGTGCGAAAGTTCGCCGCTGTGGACATCCCTGGTCTGCATCACGTCAAGGACTGCATCGTGTTCCCTGCCAAGGGTCCCAGGCCTCATCCCAACGAGATGGCTGGTGAGCGGCACCTTGTCACTCTCTGGCGTCTCTCTCACCAAGTTAGAAGTAGGCAAGACATCATTTGACTGCGATAGCCGTTATTAGTGAGCTTTCGCGGCATATCCAGTGTTTGTATCGTGCAAGTTGCGGCCAGCTATGTTTAGCGGGACGCAACTTAAAGTCCGGCGCTGCTTGAAGTCTCGTCATCTTACGAAGGTAAAAGACGGGACCTTTCGGAGGCCGGTGACCTCTTCTTCGGCTTTCTTCTTCCCAAGAGAGCTGAGGAAGATGCCACCGGCCGCGAAACGTCCCGTCTTTTTTTCTTCGTTAGAGGTCGCGACTTAAAGCAGCGGCGGCCCGAGTTCAAGAGGTTCCATTTTGAATTACGGCTTTTATAGTGAGAACATACAGGCACGGAATGGTATGTTTGAAATAAGTTTTATTATGAGTATCGCTGGCAGACGCACCTGAAGTGGAAAATGCAATTTTTTTTGTTACCACCCATAAAGCCGGGGCACAGCCGGGGTCACACAGTGCTTATACATCATGCAAAAAAGCCTGCGAACAGATTCGAATACGAGCCACTGCGAGATCCCTGCTTCGAATGCCGCATGGCAGTGAGTTCAAGCAGGAAACTTGGCACACGACATTCGAAGCACGGATATTGCGGTGACTGATATCTGCAGACTGCCTTTTGTATAATGTATAAGCAGTGTGACCCCGGCTTAGAGCGGCCATGAAACGATTTTTGCACTTTCGCTAAATACTGCTTAGTATCACTCTCTAACGTCAATAACCGAATAACCTTGCCTCAGTTTTTTTTTTTTTCATCAGTGGCAATCGCCCGAAAGATTTGAGAAATATGAGCATCGTTCACGCCCTCGCCTCGGAGCCAAAATAAGCGGTCACGCGGCCTGGTGCCTATCCTATGCTGCCAACGTTAATCATAGCCACGCGCTGGCGGTTGGCAAAGTAGAAAACGCGTGCTGAGCTCCAGGCATTGTTAGTTTGGCTATTCTCATCACCGCAGTGGCTGAAGACGAGCCACTAGCCAAGTTTCAGCCGAGGCATTCATTGTTACGAGCCGGAGTCGAGTGCTCACGAGCTTTTCGTGTCCAATCTATAAGCCGCGCTCGATTTTCGTCAGGCCGGTGAGTTCGATCCCACAATTGCGTCATGAAGCTTTGCGAAGGCAAGACTGAAAGAAATAGTCCCTCTTTCATCCTCTCAATTTAACCGCATCAAAGAAGCTTCTGAATCGGGGACGGTGTGTACGAGTATACTTGGGCCAGACTAGACCAATAGCCTCTGAAACGTCACGAACATTCCAACCCAATATCGCTTCACGGCCCCTTATCTGCACCACAAACTCACCGAGGCACTGTGGCAACATACGGGGAGGCTGTGCTGTACGATGCGACGTTGCAAAACAAAACAAAGAAGATTGTCGCTGTTACAGCAGTAGCTAGTTTTCTCCCCATTCTATGATGGCCGTCATTGTGGTGAAAGTTTACGCTTCAATATAACGCAAAGGTCGAGGCAAACAACCCTCTGGCAAAGCAGATTCTGGCAAATCTGCGTTGGGAATAGAAGCAATATTATCAAGTAACTGCGGCAATTTTTTTCTAAAATTGCTGACAATGCTGCAGCACAGCAAAGTAGGCAAATCATTTCAAGGAATTTAAAACTCTCCACCACGCTGAGAACGTCTGTGATCTTGCAGTAAGTACAGGGCAATCATCAGAAACATCTGAGTTCGAACTTTGATCTCAATGTCAACCTGAAACTTGCAGCAGTGTGCATGGTAAACTATTGCACTCGCAAAGAGCCAAATTTACCGATTGCTACTGCAGCCATGTGTATGAAAACAGTTCTAAAGCATGTCATAAATTACATTTGGGAGATCCTGCAAGCAAAGCCATTAAGGTTAGTAGTAACAATCAACCAAACACAGGCTTTCAGCCATCTGCAATGTGGCACACAACGAAACTGTAGTAGATTAAAAAAAAAACTATATGCACTATCACGGTGAAAAGAAGGCCCAAAAAATTCCGAGCTGTATGTCACAATTAAGGTAATAAAAATGCAAGGCGAGCCCAGTTAAAAATGTAAAACATACCAGCTTGCTGTAAGTTCAAATGCTTCTCCAGGACTGTTGCATGTATCTGAACTTTCAGGCATCTGAACTTTTAGAGTGCATTTTCAGCGTAGATTTTCTTCAGAGGACGTGAACAATTTAGTCTCTGGAAATCAAAACTTGTTAGTGTTGCGGCCCCATGCATGACTACTGCACATGAGCACGCTACAGGGTAGCTTCATACGTGTCTAGAAAAAAGCCAAATAAGTTACTAAAAAATTCAGTGCTGCAACTCAGACGACAGGCGTGCTGATAAACTGTCAATCTCGGTACAAAATGCCATCTTTTCGCCTATCAACCTCGCCTGGCTTTCTTCATTGAAGTTGACAACCTCTTCGAGTGATGGAAGTGCCGAAGCAGTAAGTGCCGAAACACTTCCATTACTCAACCTAAAATGAGGTAGGACAATGTGACCGTGAAGTCTCCAAGTAAAAGAGAATCGTGCTTTCCTCTAGCCATGGCTGCTTTGTCAGTTTTGGCCAGCACGCGTTACTCTACAAACGTGAATGAAAACAAGATAACGCCATCGAAGACATACCGTTTTCAGAAATAAGTCAAAGTTTAAGAGAAGCAAATAAATACACTGAGAAGCACCGTCAATTTCTTGCAAAATGTGGAAGCACCAGATCGCAGAAATTAGTCCGTGGTTCTTTCAGTTCAGTTTGCAGTCCACCTTCAGCTTTTACCATATCGTTTTTTCCATATCGTTTACTTCATGATGATGATGGTGGCACAGTGGTGGCGATTGGAAGCTATGCTTGAATTATAACATTATCGTACTAAAATGCATAAGAACGAAATTATAAAAATAAAATCGGTCCTTTTAAAAGTTTCTAATGATGTCAAACCACCGCAATCTCACGTCCAAACGTTGACCAATCCCGATGACGCTAGCGATGACGATGGCTGTGGAATGGTCAGCCTCGGGACTCTGCGGCAAACGCCAGTCAGGCCTACACTAGCAGAGTACACCACCACACTGCGGCTACATTGTACTACGACGGCGCGACCAAGGCCGCGTAACTTGTCCGCCACACTGAATAATTAAGCGGCTGTCACAACGAATATGAATATCGAATGCATATGCAGTGAGAGCGCGTGAACTGATGCACTTGTAAATCCTTCAAAACCCCCCAAAATAAACTTTTTTAATGCGCGATTGTGGATTTGTGCACGTATATTCCATGTCCCTATCACAGCCACTCTGGGACGTTTTTGATAGTCTTTCCTGAAACGTCTATGAAATGTCTGTCTGACGTCTGCTTCGGGGCGTGGGACGTTCGCGCAATTTTTAGATATCCCAGGGATGTTTGGTGTTGTCTGGGTACAAACGCGTTTGATCCATCTTCTTAAAGAAACCATAAAATGCATTTTTGGGAGGAATAAATAATTTTACTTTTTTTTATTAATCGCATATCGTTTATTGAGCTTAAATAAAACAAGTGGACGAGGATAGAAAGTCAAAAGGCAAATTGTTTGGTGGAAAAATTTGAAAATGTAACGGACTATTTCTTGCCTAATTTCCTTCGAAAGCTCTCCGCCTTTGCACTGTGGTGCATCGCGGTGCCCAAGCACGTAGCCGAACCCAGCTCACGCAATGAGTAGGAGCACTCAGTCACTCGGGCGTATGCGCTCAGGGCCGTGACGGAACTTATAACTTGCGAATGACAAGTTCCATGGTGTTCTTATAGAGCACGGTGGAAGCTTGGAGTTATCGCATCCGGTGCCCGATCACGTCACGACCAGGTGATTCTAGTTGAGGAGGAAAGCTCGGGAGGAGAGCTCGGGAGGAGAGCTCGGGAGGAGAGCTCGGGAGGAGAGCTCGGGAGGAGGGCTCGGGAGGAGGGCTCGGGAGGAGGGCTCGGGAGGAGGGCTCGGGAGGAGGGCTCGGGAGGAGGGCTCGGGAGGAGGGCTCGGGAGGAGGGCTCGGGAGGAGGGCTCGGGAGGAGGGCTCGGGAGGAGGGCTCGGGAGGAGGGCTCGGGAGGAGGGCTCGGGAGGAGGGCTCGGGAGGAGGGCTCGGGAGGAAGTTGAGAAATCATTTCATGGTCCTTTCAAGCCATCTGCGACTGAAGCAGTCTGTCATTCTCCCATCGTAACCATCGTAGATCCGACAGGGTTGATGGGGGACGTAGGACTGCAGCTGAGCGAAACCCGATATAAACTTATTCTACGATCTGTGTTTACTTTGCACAAGTGAAGGGGACATAATTAAGTCCCTTGCTCATATTAAACGTCGATCTTTGTGCAGGCTCGGATTTGGATGGAGACGAGTACATTGTCATATGGGAAAAGGACCTCTTGTTTCCCGGGAACAACCAACCTGCCATGGTATTCTGCGACCACTCCTCGGTTGTTCCTTCGGACGACTCACTGGTGCGCTTTGCCCCTTTCAAGACCCGTTGTCTTGTAGCTCTCAGCCATTCTGCGAACTACCACTGGCTAAGATTAGGTACCTTTGAGACTGGCGTGCTCGGGTCGCGCAAGAAGTATAAAACTTTGTATTTTTACGCACTCGTCAGTTTTTGGCCCAACAAGCACATTACCTAGTGAAATGTGTACACGATAGAGATACCTGTGGCCAGCGATATAGACTTTCCATTTTCCCAGGGGGAAATGGAAAGTGTAGGTCTTCGCTGAGTAATCGCCAGTCACATCTTGTGGATAAACTCCGAAGCAAAAGCCGTCAGCTTGAAATGTAATTGAGCACAAATTAGCTGCCAACACGGGCTTTTTTGCAAAATGGTCAAGAAGCCATATTATACAGGTTTTAACTAGTCTGCAGAATATATAATTACACGATGGGGTTGGGGATTGTATTGGCGCGCAGCTTTTAAGTGTTTCTCAAACTTTGTCGTATACATTCATTCACTGCTGATTTGAGTGATTGCACCGCGTCTGCGCCCTAAAAGCAAAAGTCCAGATAAAAATTTTCATTTTGTAAATTAAAAGCTTATAAATACCGCAGGAGGACGGCATGGTCAAGTTCATCTGCAACTACATCAAGAACGACAATGTGGGCATTCTTTCCAATGCACACCTGGCATGGGCGGACAAGCTCCCCGACGGCATCTTCTCCAAACGTTGCCTCAACATTGCTGCGAAGATCTCGACGTGCATCGACTTCGCAAAAACAGGGACCACGTCCCACTTGACCAGGGAGGAAAAGCCCAGTGTTTACCCAGACTTCATGGAAAAAGCGGGCTCCAAAGATACGTATCGCTCGACCCGCATTCTAGGGCACTTGTACCGTCTTCACAGATACTTGGACTCTGTCCTCAGCACCAACTTTCAGAGCCGCCTTGCCGAAGACGTGAACGGTGTGTTGTTCGAGCTTCCAGGTTGGCAGTGCTACCAGAAGACCGCTGAGGAGTCCTTGACGCTGTACTCGTCCCAGATGGAGCGAATTCTCTGCCAGTACGGAATCAAGAGTGAGGGAGAGGTGGTAGCTGGTCTCATCACCACGGTGTCCGATTATAACAGGAGTACTCTGGACAGGAACAACGTGGAGGTGGTTGTCGTTAAGCAGTATCGCGCTCTCGTCGAAAGTACACGGGTAAACTTTTTCAAGGAAGTGGACGACGCTTGCCGCGTTGGAGGCGTTAGCACGGAGGTGGGAAGAAAAGTAATCTTGTTGCAAATGGCATCTGCTTGGTACAAGGTGACGTATGCGGACACCTGGAAGGAGAGGAACTGCCGGAGCTTCCCATGGGCAATAGTGGATGTCCTCCTCCTCGTTATGAAAGAGAAGGCATTGGAATGTCATTCTTTGAGACGAGTACCACGTAACCTGCTTGTTTCAAAACTGGACGAGGAACTCTGTGAACCATCCGAAAAGACTGCGGAGGACCGTGCCCTTGATGTGATCTTCTTGTGGGCAGCCAAAGAAGAGTTGATTCAAACCACAAGGAGGATGGCTCCATATATCTGCAAGCGCTGCCTAGCACTCCTCTTTCGAAGCTTCCTTGCACAGGAACAGAGGTACTCTGAACATGGCTCTGAACAAAGCTCTGAACAACTCGCGGTTGATGGCGCAGAAATGCCTCATTCCATCGAGGGAAAGCCTGCAACTGTCGGAGGCTATGTTCTGGCCTTCCTCCGACACTTGAGCAGTGCCGAGGTGGCATTTCCATCTTGTGACTTCTGCACGTGGTCTTCGTCGCAAGCGCACGCCGTGACCTTGACTGCCCTCAGGACATACAGCCTGCTTGCGATATTCGGGGATCTGTGTTATTTGGGACTCACGTGTGATCCAGACCTTCACGAACCGATCCAGGTGGTTCAGGAAGGAAACCCTGTCCGGATCCAGGTAAGTCTACAAGGATCTCAATACTACGCATATTTCTGCCCGTTTATTTTAACATCTTCGCGTGCCGCGGGAAACGTAGCTTCGTTTCGGGCTATGTTCTAGACCCGACTAAGCGCACATTTCTCGGGAAGTTCTCAGTCGTTCTGGGATTATCCGGTGGTGTACAGTGGCGTACCATATTAAACGATTGCACAACTGTTTTAATTATTAAGATAAGACATGTTATCTAACCCGGCACGTCGTCTCAAACTAAAGTTTGTGCATGGAACGTATGCCTAGCTGCACCGGAACTGTTTTGGGTATTTAAAAGCAATGATAGTATTTGACTTTGCGCTACGCTATAGGTATCCAATCATTAGCGCATTGTTTGTTCAGATTGTTTGCATATTGCAGTATGATGCTTGCTTCACGTATCAACCTCAGATGATTGAAGTGCATAGAAATATCGTGATAAGATAAAGTGTACGCGTATATACCATATTCATGACGTCTGGTTAGGAAAAACGAGGTGTGTATTGTAGTTTTATATTCTAATTGATAGTTATTCAACCCCTTCGCAATGTATGCAAAAGGGTCTATCCTAATAGTAGCTAGGGAAGTTGCTGATATAGCTAGAAAACTGTAGTTTACTTTCAATTAATTGTATATCCTGACACCTTCAGACATTCGCGTAAATCCACCACGATTTTGACACTTCCTAAAATTGGTGGATTGCCGCTGGTTTTTTTAAAGTGCATTGCTATAACTGAACTAGCCATCTGAAACAGCTGTTGAAGATAATAACAAGAAAGCATTTAGTCGGCTTTCATTGTCAATTGCTGATCTTGATCGCTGTGCTGAAATAAGGTGTGTACTCTCACTCGGCGTGCAACTGACGTGTCAGAGTGAGCGCTGTGCAAGCTAGGGGTAACATTGTAACTCCCTCTGAAAGTAGAAAAAATTCCGTTCCCTCAAGAACAAATGGAACGCCCCGTTCAGCTGCAATCCCGGCCACATGCTTAGCGGATGACATACAATATGAATGATAAACTAACCTTCCGAACCCCGTGAATCGGTTCAATCACCACCCTCCCGTTTCGACCTGGATGAACATCGTACCGGCGTGCGGTTGTGTATTACTACTGCGTGTTGCACGTTAAAGACCACAGGCTAGCAGTAGAACTGCACTGGCCGCATTTTTCGTCAACATCGGAGACACCAGACGTCGAGTTTTTTCCCGCTGTCTAAACGAGCACAATGTGTCAGCTAACCACTGTCCTGCACTACTCGGTAAAAATGCTTTCACTTGTAAATTCTCAAGACAGGCGCTTTTTTTTTTAATAAACCTTATTAATTGCCCGTTTGTGACACACCGATGGCTTCTCTGCTCCAGGTGATCAGCCCCAGGTTTCGGGAAATGCTGAACCACAGCGAGGACGAGGTGTCCAGCCTGCTGGCCAGCTGGTCTGGCGTTCAACAAGTGCACATCAAGAAGCACTTCGACCGTTCGGGCCAGATAAACTGCATCCTGGTCTTGGCAGTCGGCCGGGACTGGCAACGTTGGTTTCTGGAAGAGCTCCTGCTTCAGCCCTGGCTCGCCAAGGCCATTGAGAAGCGGGACCTAGAGCCGTTCTTCAAAGATTAGAAGCCCCCCCCCCCCCCTATTCTAATACATTCATCGCGCATAGTGTTATGGTTTTATATTTATTGTTACACCGGATTTAAATGCATAGCAGTCGTCAGAAATCATTTTTAACGACTACTATTGCAATACGTGTGTAACAAACAGCTTGTTTCCTGTTTTTAATATTTAGATTTTAGTTTTGGGAGTATGAATATCCACGTACCTCAGTTCGACTCAAGTGTGTAGCTGGTATCGAATACCTTTACGTGCAAACTCGTTTCCACGATAACATGTTCGAACATATTCTGCCAGTGCATTTTTACAAGGCCTCGCCATATTTGTTTTTGGTAATGTAAATTCTTGTGCACTGCTTTATTTTTGCTTCTGTAATTTCTATTCCTCGGCGTGAAAGGGTTGCGCTATAACGATGTCCTAATTTGTTTAGATTCCGTAGCAAGTTGTCTTTAATATACTGAACTGGAATTAAAGTATTGCAAGTGTTTATTCTAATTTTGGCATCTGCGGTTATGCTTCTGTCTTGTTCCTTTTTAAGCCACTGAATGTTTCCAGAATATTGAGTTCCATAGCTCGGCACTCGAGGATACATGTCGTGGATTGACCGCTTGTGTTCACGGAGTCAAGTTCTCAAGTGCGTGCTGACGGGATGTTCTTTCACTTGAAAGATGGCATGCTATACTATACTTGGCAGGATGCTTTTTGTCCCGACAGACAATGGGTTATACTTACTTTAGCAGCATTTTCTTTAGCCTGTAAGACGGCAGGTTATACTCTATTTAGCAGGATGTATTTTGGACTTGGATAGCGGGTTATGATTTATTTGGCAGGATGTTCTCTTGTCTAAAAGATAACTTTAGAAAACTCCCAAAGATGCCTTATGCTGGATACAATGCCCGCCAGATTCCTACGCAACCCGCTAATTAACCGTGCCTCATTTCATGGGAGCGCTATCCTGGCGGTAGCCAAAAAACTGCTCAATGACGTCGCGTTTAATGGAACAGCCTGAGCAGGGGATGCCTCTCGCTCAAGACGGAAATCTCAGCCGAGCCGTGTACGACGCATCAATTTGAAATGCGGGAAGAAATGAGCTTTTAGCCATCCCCTCGCGCTGCGAGGCACATGCTCCGTTTTAAGCTGAGACAGCAGCCAAAGCTACAAGCGCGAGCTAGCCCACGCTCCTGGCTTTGAAACGTGCATTTCTAGCGCGAGTGCTCGTTCTGCGGAAGAGCTGCATCAGAGCAGCGACCTCGAGCTCTCGTGCTTCTGGCATTTGCTGCAGTCTCGGCGTAAGTGTGAACGGAGTATACAGTTTGAGCGAGCCAGCCTCCCTTTCTCCGGCTGTTCCATGGAGCGCTACGTGATGGAGCAGTGTTTAGAAAATTTTATTTACAACAGTGGTGTTATGCCCAGAACAAAGCCAAAACCCGAAAACGCGCGTAAAGGCCGGTTCTCACATGCAGCGAAGCGCTGATGTAGCGCTGCTCACGTGTCGTCAGCTGGTTATCGGCTGCCCTGAGAAACCGTTTCGACGGTGCGATACAAAGCTGGCTAACCCTGCAGTCAGCACGCGCTTAGCGCTAGGTCAGCGCTATGCTTGTAGCGCGAACAGGCCTTAATTTGGCTGCCGCCAGAATAGCGCTTCCAGGCTTAAAAAATACAGGGCGTGGCTGAAGTTATGCTCGCGATTCGTGATTTCATGTTTGGCGTTCTTGTCGGCTAATGTCGTATACACGAACTCAACTCTCCTACGTCACGCCGCGGTGGTGGCGCGCCGGACGCACTTCCAGTCTGGGGCGGTGGGCAGAAGTCGCCGTGCCAGACATGCATTCCTGTGTTCCTTTGGAAGAAACGAGACAAAAAACCTGCCTTTTTGTAAAAATGCTGCGATGGGGGCTGTACCAAGAGAGTCTGGAAAGGTTTGAAGATCAGTTTTCATGTGTTTTTGCCCCCTCCGTTCGTCCGAGAACGTGGATAGTAGCCGTAAATAGGGCAAACCAGACACTGTCGAACTACGATTGCTTGTGCGGGCAATACTTTGTGGTCGCCAGATGTATTTGCTTTGTTCGAACATGAGCGAGAGAAAACCTCCTAGTTGTCCGGACCACCCACGGGTTCAGTGCGTCTTCAAATTCACACGGCCGGCTGATCGTTCGAACTTTCGTCTGCTCTTTCAAACTTGTCTGCTTCTTGTCGTCTGCTCGTTCAAACAAAAGCGGCCCGTAGACCAAACTTTGACCCAGTGATTGCAATAAGAAGTAATTGCAGGCCTCAAAAGACTTTAAGTAGGCTCCGTGTAAACAGTAGATACAAGATGTTGATCATTGGTACCGGTGGCCATCACCGACTTGTTACGGTTGCTCTGTTCCCGCTTCCGATTTTCAGTATCGACGTCGATCATCGCCGCTGCCTTCTACACTTTTGCAGCACTAGCGACGTCGCGACCGAAAATAGCTAGAAGAATCTCATCATGGTTTTGGCGTCCATTCTGTGGCGTTCATGCGAATGAATCGCCGCACGTAAAATTATTTATGGAAAGTTTAGCGGCGTAACGAGCCTTGATAATTTCGCTCAGGCGATTAAAGTGGTAAGACATTGCGATGAGGACGTAGAATCGACAATTACAAAGCGAAAAAGAGTATGCAGACTCACACAGACGCCGACAACGTGACATTCGAAGGGTTTGTTGACGCGGGACGCGGTGCTTCTTGCCCGTACTCTATTGCGCATCCGTTCGAACTGTCGTCTGCTCTTTCAAATTTAGCTGCTTTTTGTCGTCAGCTCGTTCAAACGACAGCGGCCCGTAACCAAACGTTGACCCGGTAATTGCGATAAGAACTAAGTGCAGGCCTCAAAACACTTTTGAAGGTTGGTTGGGGTAAGTAGGCTAAGTGTAAACAGATACAAGAAGATGTTGATCATTGTTACCAGTGGCCATCACCGACTTGTAATGCCCGATTCTACTTGGGTTTTTCAGTATCGACGTCCACCATCTCAGCTACGGTCCACGCTTTTGCAGTCCGAGCGACGTCGCGACTGAAAATAGCGTGCAGAATCTCACCGTGGGAGTCAGGGTTTAGCGCCCATTCTGCGGCGTCCACGTGAAATGAATCGCCGCACGTCACATTATTCACACAAAGTTTTGCCTCGTTAGTTTTGTTGAAGCCGCTCAAGTAGTCTGATATTGTTACGAGGACGTAGAATCAACAATTTCAACGCGGAAAAGAGCACGGGGGCTCCCACCGACGCCGACAACAACGCAATTCAATGGTTTGTTTATGGGCGACGGCGGGCTTCTTGCCCACCATCCACCGCGCATGCGCGGCGCCGGTGGCGTCCGCTAGGGGCGCTCCGGTTTGTTTGTAAACATGAGTTGGTGTATAATCATTGGCTGGTTTCAGCGGAAGCCCACCTCTTTTCACTTCAGGAGCCTTCCCAGGGTCCGCTCTGCTGAAGTGGAAAGAGGTGGGAAGAGCTTCCCCTGACCTCTTAACCAGTCACTGACTACTGACGAGACGCGGTTCGCGTGTTGCATGTTAGGTAGGTTTGCAGTGTACGTTCTGCGACCGTCCCTGCCTTTCCTATACTTTCCTCCTCACCAAGCGGTGCGTGCGCACTCGGTGTGGGAGGCGTCCGCACTTAAATTGAAAAAAACGCTCCCCGTGGTTTGAACTAGGCACTCTACAATATAGGTTCTTTGGTGTACAGCCGCAACGGAAAAAGATTAGCGCAAGTGACCGATGACCGGAGCGGCAATAGTTTTATTAGACTGTGTTTCCCTTCGCTGAGCCCCTCCGCTACCCGAAACTATAGAGCCAAGGCCATCGGCACGCAGGAGCAGTGGCGGTTTCTTCATAGCGGAGGGTCAGCGGAGATGGAAACACGGTCTACTAAAACTCTCTAAACGGTCTGCTAAAACTAAAACGGTCTGCTAAAACTCCCTAATAGGGAGTCTATTAGGCCCGCTTCAGACGGGGCAACTTTTCCAGCAATTCCGGGGTTGCTGGCGGGTTGTTCCCTAGCTTTCCCTAGATCGACACGAATTGCTGAGATCGGGTCCGACTCGAACGAGCGAGCAACTCGCAGCAATTCGAAGACGTTTGAAACGGCTGCAGCCAATCAGGGACGCGATATTTTCACGTGACACCCCTGTGGTGGTGATGACAGCTATAAACTTCGTTCTGGTTTGAAATGGATTGTTTTTGAAAATAAACCTTTTCAGAAAGATGAGTTAGTATTCTCAACACCATTCAAAGATATAAAAACACCTTGTTGGCGCGTAGCTGTGCGTCTAAATAGTGTAAGAAAAATCAAATGTCATGATGATGATAGCAAGTCGGAGCAATTCGGTTGCTGCGTGTGAACGCGGGCGGCCCGTGTTGCTGGAGTTGCTACATCAAGTTGCTGGGCGAAATTGCCCAGTCTGAAGCGGGCCTTAGGGAGTTTTAGCAGACTGTTTTCGTGCAGCCGCTTTGCAGAGCGGAGCGCGGAATCTCTACTGCGCCTGCGCGCCCATGGGCTTGGCTGTAGAGTTTCGGGTAGCAGAGGGGCTTAGCGGAGGGGGAAACACTGCCTGCTAAAACTCGCTAATATCGCGACATGCGGCGCTACTGTTCCCGAGCGCCCCGATAGCGAGAGTGCCAGTCACGTTCCGTGTCTAACGCGAGGTTGGCAGGAAGAAAATTAAGGGATAAGAAAACTTTCGGAATGCGGGCTCTAGGATGGGCTGCTTTCTGTCGGCCACCACCGCGTCGAGATAGGGAACATGAGAGGCACTCTCGCTATCGGCGCGCTCGAGACCGCGTGTCGCTGTTTTGCCACTCCGGTCGTCGGTCACTTGGGATCTTCTTTTTCCGCTGCTGCTGTACGTCCACCTGTATGCGAGGCGTAGGTCAATCTCCATTTGCCTGTCTCGCTGGCTTTCTTCACTCGTGGTGATTTGTGTGACTTTGGTGCTCGCTAATAAAATTCTCTTTGAAGCAAAGGCTCAAACCGAAAAATACAATGGTTCGATTACGGTTACTGTTTCCTGTTATCGGGCTCATTTCGTTTTTTACGGTTTTAATTTTTACGGTGTCGGTTACCGGTTACTTTACTGAAAACCGGTTTATTTCGGTTTCTCCAGGGATTTGTATTATTGAAATGCCAGATAGCTGTTTTATATATAAACTGTTTAAAGTAGTTGAAGATATTTAATAACGGACATTCACAATAACAAAAAATCGAAAGCGTCTTAGTACTTCTAATTGGTCAAAGGTTGCACACGTTGCTACCTCCATACATCTGTTTGCATCATAGTTTGATAAACAAGCATACTTGTCACCCCCGCTACTCGGGAGTCCTCGCATTCCATATAATAAAAAAAATTAAGATACACATCGCTACTTACTTGATTCGCAGCGTTTGTACACAACCCTCCAAGTTTCCACTCGGTGCTGGAAGAGCCATTCGCCCCTGCTCGTCGCTATAGTTTGTTGCAACCTAAGATGTGCAGA